ATGAATGATATTACTTTACATTGTGATTGTTTCTTGCTTCTTTCTGTATTGAAGTGTCTTTAATTTATAGTAAATTCATCCAAAGTTGACACTACCATATGTTTGTTAGAGACTTCACAAATTTTTAGTTGAAAAGTTATCTAATATGTGCAACACCTTTTCTGTGTCAAGTTCGATTTGTGTAATTTACTTTAGTTTTTTTGCAACTTTTACTCTTTCCAATGATAGAGTTCTTTGTTTAAGGTCAATTTAGCTTTAGTGCTCCTTGAGTTTGAAATTTTTTAGCTTTGCACTCGCAAGTTTTTGCTTGAACGGACTTGCTTCTTAATTAGTCTTGATAGATGGACTATCTTTTTAAGTAATTTGATCTGGCATCATCTTACAAATGTTGTGGTGTTCACCTACTGCTTGAACGATCTATTTTTATATGGTCTTCCTAATGTTACTGAAACACAAATAAATTGATTAGTATTTTAGTGATAGGTTCTCACTCCGATACCGACACTGGTGTGATGCAGTGTTTCACACGGTTGTGCAGGTGTCCAAAAATTTCAAATAATTTTTGCGGCTCTGATATGGCTAGACATGGGAAACACAGTTCCGACACCAGAAAATTTATTTAAAAAAAAAAAAAAAAAAAGTTAAAAAATTTTAAAAACCTTTCATCTGTCCAAAAACTCTCTCATTTCTTCCTTCCTCTACGCGTTTCCCTTTCTATTCTGCAGTTGCGTTTTCTCTGTGCATTTCCTTGTCGTTCACCTTTTACCAGTCACCACCAGTAGTTCCCTGGCAACTTTCATCTCTGTTTCCTGTCACCCTTTTCCTCCTTTATTTTTCTGTTTTTGTTTTTATTTTTGTTTTTGTTTCATCTCTAGTTCTCTGCACATGTATGTTTCATTTGTTTCACTATTTGTTGAATGTTTGTTCTATTTATCTTTGTTTCATTTTTACTCTGCACATGTATGTTTGCTCTATTCATATTTATTTACTTGCATATGTTTTATCTTTGTTTTGTTGTTAAAGAATGTTTACTTTGTTCATCTCTCTTTTTTGTTTTTGTATTAACGTGCTCTTTTTCCATTTGAAAATAAATAAGAACTAAATTAGTTGTCTCTAATTCTTGTAAAAATGAGTACTTCTACTCAACCCTTACAAAATGATGACACCAAACACCTATAACATTATATTTTAAAAATAAAAAGTGTCAGTGGAAGTGGTAGAAATTATGAAGTCAAATACAATTTTTGTAACTTAACTTTCAAGGGATCTTATACTAGAGTAAGGGCACACATTTGTTGAAGATTATTGAAAAAGGAGTTAGAGGATGTCAAAAGGTAACACCTTCAAAGCTTGTTGATTTAAAAAAGATAAACAATGAGACTATATTAAAGATAGAAAAGTCAAAAGCAAAATTTGTCCTTTTACCTCCGATTTCTAATGACTCACCCATAGACACTAATGATGGTGTTGATCTCAAAAAGAAAAACATTTGGACCACTAGAAAAATCTTTCAATATATAAGCTAGAGAGACATTAGATTACAAAATTGCTAGGATGTTTTACTCATTAAGATTGTCTTTTTATTTAGCAAGAAATCCTTATTATAAGAGAGTTTTTTTTTTTTGCTACCAATAATTATATAAGTCGATATTAACCTTTGGGCTATAATAAGTTAAGAACAAGCTTACTTCAAAATGAAAAAAGACATGTAGAGAGAGAGAGGCTATTGGAGCTAATAAAAAATACATGGAGTCAAAAAGGTGTTAGCATTGTTAATGATGTATGGAGTGATCTCTAAAGAAGGCCTCTCATTAATTTCATGGCTATAATAGATAGTGGACCCATGTTTCTAAAGGCTATAGAATGCTCAAATGATATTAAAAATAAAGATTTTATAGCCAAACAAATGAAAGATATAATTATGGAGGTGGGACCCTCAAATGTTGTGCAAATTGTGATTGATAATGCACTTGTACTTAAGGCAGTAGATTTAATGATTGAGGCTAATTTTTCTTCTATTTATTGGACTCCTTGTGTTGTACACACTCTAAACCTTGTTTTGAAAAATATATGTGCAGCTAAGAATACAAAAAATAAAATAAAATATTATTGCTTATCAAGAATGTTCTTGGATCACTACAATAGCAGAAGATGTTGTGTTTATAAAAATCTTTATCATAGGTTGCACTATGAGGTTGTCCATTTTCAACTCATTGAAATTGCTTTCCATTGCTCCAACAAGTTTTTCCTCTACTATAGTAATGCTTAAAAGATTTAAGTAATTGAAGTAACTCCAAGAGATACTTATTAGTGATGAATGGTCTCCTTTACAAGGGAGATGATGTTAAAAAAGTTAAATTTGCTAAAGATACATTATTGGATGATGTTTGGTGGGACAAGTTTGATTATATATTATTTTTTACTAGTCCCATCTATGATATTCTTAGAAAAACGGACACGGAAGCTTCATCTTTCCATCTAGTGTATGAAATGTGAGACTCAATAATTGAAAAGGTAAGAAAAGTCATATATCAATATGAAAGAAAGGCGAAAAGTGAAGAATCGAGTTTTTATAATGTTGTGCACTCCATATTAATTGAACATTGAACAAAGAGTAGCACGCCTCTCCGTTGTTTAGCTCATTCTTTAAACCTAAGATAATAAATTATATTACTAAATAATATTTTCAATACTTAAAATTTTTAGTTACATTTCTATAGGTTATTATAACTATTTTTTTATAATGTAGATATTATAGCCATGAATGACTAAGTGAAGATTCTAATATAGTTCTTCCATATCAAGATATGAAACTTACTCGTGAAAAGATAAAATGCTTCAAAAGATACTTTGTTGATATGGATGTGAAAAGACAAGTAAATGTAGAGTTTGTAAATTTTTCAAATGGAAAAGAAGGTTTTGATAACATTGATTCTTAAGTGATAGGGACAAGATGGATGTAAAATCTTGGTGGCTTGTTCATGGTGCTCATACTCCAATACTTCAAAAGGTTACCGTTAAACTACTTGGACAACCATGTTCTTCTTCAAGTTGTAAAAGAAATTAATGGAACATACTCTTTTATTCATTCTATAAAGAGAAATAAAATGGCACTATATAGTGGTAGATCTAGTATTTATTCATAGCAACTTTTGTCTTCTTTCAAAAAATTATCCAAGAAACAAAAATATGGGACATAGCAAAAGATGCATTTGGATCACTAAATGAAAGTGAAATGCTTGAAGTTGCTAATTTGTCACTTAATGACTTTCTTTTTGTAAAGAGAATTTTTTTATTATAAAATGATGTTGTCCGGTAATTTTTTGTTAGAGTATTATATGAAAATCGTAAAGTCTAACAACTTTGTTTTGAAAAGATAAATGAACAAATCTTAATTTTTAATTTAGATTTTTGTCATGTTAATCATATCTAATTTTTTTATATATATTTATACATAGGTGATATTCCGGTATCCTATATTTTAGACATCAAAAGAATTAATGTTTCATAGGTTATCAGCTACATAAAAGACAATATAAATCGGTATTATAAGTACCTTAAGCAAATTATGAGTTTGGTGCAATACATAAGTAAGGTGAATTAAGAGGATATTTCATTAATGTATCAAATAAATATACATAAATCACTGTCAAAGAGAAAAAAATACATCAAAGAAGAAAAGAAAATTTTTCATTTATTCTCCATTTTTATCATGATAAAAAGGAAGAGTTTTCCCCTAAGGATATGTAATCACTGTCTACTTAAGAAACTCGATCTTCAAAACTCGAGCATATAGGTCTCCAATGACAGTCAGTTGGCTGCGAGAAAGTTACTCTAGATGGTCAATCCTAACTTCCAAAGGCTACAGACAGTCGGAGGTTGAGGGATTATAAGGATCAGTGGGAGGAAATAGGAACAAGCAGACATATTTTCTACATACAATTCGTAGAAGCAAAATAATAACCCAAAAAAAGGTCAAATAAGTCTTAAAGAACAGAAAGTATAGTCGATAGAAGAAATAGGATAGATAAATTGTACAGTGAGAAGAGAAAGATGTTATAGTTAATTTATTTGCACAAGATAAGACAGAAAAAAAGGCGCTTCCACCATTACCCGAGCCATGTAATCAGCTATGATGATATTGACATTGGCTTCATTAGAGTCTTAGCTTGGACCAAAGTTGCTGTCTTTATTCATACGTCAGCAAGAAAGGTGTGATCTTAGATGGTTGGGGGCGTGGCTTGCGTCTTATGAATTTACCTTTATTAGGATTCAGAGGAGACGACGTGGAGTGAGACAATTTGGGGCTAATGGCTATGAAGATGCGTGTAGACACTTCAAAATAATATATCTTCGTACCAGATACTTCCAACCAGACACTTCATATAAAAAATTTAGACTATACACTTTACAGTAATATATCTTTAGACCAGATGTTTAATTCTAGTCTCGCCTAGTCCAAGTGCAAAACTACACTAAATTTTGACATGTGACAACATCCTTAGGCCCTAGCGACAAAAGTTTGTCGCACCTACCAGATGTAATTTTTAAAAGAAAATATTTATTAAAAACTCTGTTGTTCAATCATTTTAAAACAAATATTATAATTTTGGAACGCAATGCTAGATAATATAAACCTAATTAATATTATAATTAATAAATTTTGAATGATATCATTAGAAAAAAAAAACATACATACCCATGCAACGCATGGTACGAAGTGCAGTGTAGTATAAAATCTGGAAATAAACAAGGCTAATGACAATTGAATTTGCTAAAATCGTCAACAAGTAAAATCATCAAACCTTAGATGGTATTCTGGCCATAAAATAGATAGAACCTGAAGATGCGGTGCCAGCATGGTTTCAAAAGCATCATTTGGTGTCCGAAAAGCAAACCGCAAGAGAAACACAAGAAAATTAATACTGGCCTTCGTTACGCAAGAGGGACAAGAAAGAAAAGGATCCTTACATCAGTGAACATTGTCCAACTTGACCAAATGAAATTTTATTAAAAAAAAATGAAAGAAAGAAAAATTTGTAGACAGCTAGAATGCAAACATTTAAATTTATCATCCTTTTGCAGCATAAAAGTCATGCGCCATTCTTTCCATACGTTTGAAAGGAATGTAAACTTAAAAATATTAAACTATAAATAGGCCAATGGCGAGTAAAGGAAACATTATTCCTTATGTTTTCTTCTCTTTGATTTTCCTCCATCAGAATGATCTGAGGACATGGAAGAAATGCCAGTGCTGTGACCACGGGATGACTCAGATACATGTCTTCTTCCACTAGATGGGGACGGGACCTCAGGTACCATAGATTTGGATTTAGACACACGTTTCTTTTTTGAAGTACTTGATGGCTCGGTAACTTCAGATATAGAGCTTTTCTGTCTGCTACCTTTTGATGAAGCCGCAAGTCCACCACTTTGCATAGGAAAATATCGAGATGAAGTTGTCACCGTGACTCCAGAAGAATTTCGATGTGCATGTCTTGCACTGGTTGAATTGAGTTTTTCAAGTTCTTTAGGATTGGGGAAATGGACAGTGGAAACTCGCTTTGAAATTTTTCCTGCAATAAAGAGGAAGAGGTCATTTCTCTTATGTGAGGCATTTGATACGGGAAATCTTGTATTCTCAACTAAACTATTCTGTAAAAGAGATTCCCAAAATTAGGAGGGTTCTTGAAAATGTGTTTGGTTATTATTTAAATTTCTTAGAAATGGTATATTTGTCAATAATTACCATTGATAAAGTTTAGTAACTTTACATTCAATTACTACGAAAAAGTTTTATTCCAACTAATGAAAGTAGGAAAGTTCTATATCCACTTATTCTTTAATTAACAATCCCAAGGATCATTTATTCCCGGGAAATGCTGTCATAGAGCAAGAGCAAATCCAATGCAATATATCCTAAAAGATGGGGGAGAGAAACCAAAACTAAAAGCGAGATACATATGAATCCAAACTTAGTATTCCTGAAAAACATAATTAAAGAAAAATATATAGGTTAATTACTCGGGTAAAACCATTCGCTACTCCACACATAATAGAACTTACAATCTTCCATGAATGATTTTGGACCTAGTCTTTATACACATACTTTGTAAATACCAGCTATGAAGCACTATCAAGTTTCTGTCTCAAACCAATTTTTCAGCAAGACACGAAAACCATTCATTAAGAGGAAGGCATTTTCTATTGGTTTCTCCTAAAGGTTTTACTTGGGTCCTCCCGTCCATCTTAATCAAACTTTTTCATTTGACCTACTTTTCCCATTGGATACTCCATTAATTCATCCCAATTGTCCCGAGTCAAATCACCATAGACAAATTTCCATTATCATCTCAATAAATGATACTCCATTGCATTTTAGGTTAATCTTATCTATACTTGTATGACCACAAATTATCCTCAACATAATCTACTGCCCTGCACTTTTTGCTCTTGTCACTTCCAGGCCCAATATTCACATTCATAGTATCGTCTTGCAAAGGATGAATCAGAACCATATAGATTATCTGTAACAAAATTTTGCATCTCAAGTGAGGCAGACAAACTGCTCCTACCTGAACACCAGATTGCAGTGCATGTGTGGAGGCCAAGGCTACTCCAGTGACAGAGATGAAAGCAGATCAAGTCATCATTCCACAATTTCATGGTCAATGCATAACTAGTGAGCAGAAGGGAGCATGGACAAGATTGGATATTCTTAGGACAGGTGGAATTCATATGAGGTTGAGGGTTAGCAGCCATGTCACAACTGAAATCCAGATCAAGAATTCAAGCATTGCTTATTTTGTGTTCTTGTTGGGATGTGTAAAACTGGTAGATGAAATATAGAAGCAAAATGAAGGTCCAATTAGTACAACAGCAGCAAGAGCAGGAAGGGAGTAAAATATAGTTGCTAAGTTTGGCTGTACAATTGATGATTTTGAAGAAATTATAGGGATGAGGCAATTTTCAAAAGGTGTCACTTCACTAGATTTTGGGCCACAGCTCATTTTTGTGCTTCATGGGGAAACTTGTGCTACTGTTGCATCTGTAGTTATGGGGAAGAGACAGACAATTTTTATGCTTTAGACAGTGGGACCCTGGTGGAGTAGTAGTCCTTCACCTTGAGGACAAGATGAAGCTTTAGGGAAGGAAGTATTGTTAGGTAAACCCCATTAGTAGTTTGCTTAAATAGATTACTTAGTTATCCATCGGTTAGTTATATTAGTGGGTTAACTAGTTAGTTAGGTGAGTTAGTTTGAATATGGCATGTTGCCTATAAATAATAAAAAGGGTTGAGAGGAAGATATTATCTGCTGATTTAAGAGGAAATACAAATTGTTGTGGGAGAGTCCAGGCCTCTTGAAAGTCCTGGTAATCATTTGCATTCTTTTCATTTAATAGAAACCTTTTTCTCTACAATTCTGAGCCAGTTCTATCACTAAGGACAAAGACCACCACATACTGATAGTGGTGGATATATGCATTAAATAAGCACATTTTATACCCCTTAGTCACCCATTCACAGCATGAAATGGAGCAGAAGTTTTCCTCAAAGACGTGGTATGATTGCACAGGTTTCCAGCCCTTATTGTTTTTGATAGGGACAAGATCTTTTAGCCATTTCTACACTAAGTTGTTTTGCTAGGCTGGAACCAAACTCTAGTTCAATTATGCTTACTGTCCCTAGATGGCCAAACTGAGGCTGTCAACTGGTGTTTAGAGACCTATTTGCATTGTCTAACATGGATTTAGTTGGGCTAAGGAGTTTAGACCCAAGCAGTGGCCTAGGAGGTGGGTTAAGTTGGTCATAATTTTGGTTTAATACTAAGGACCAACTATACTCTACACAATTTGCTCAGTGCAAGGCATTGTCAAGACTGCCCAATCCTCAAAAGTATGATTGTTGCCTTTGCTGTGGAGAAGGCTAATCAGCCCATGGCTGAATCAGATGCCATAACAGCTGACCTCAAGCTAATATCCCTAAGGCTCAAGACCAAATTGAGTACAAGCTGATAAACATGAGGGCGTTGCAGTATCAGATTGGAGATTGGTTTTCTTCTCAAGCTACAGACCTATAGACTCAAGTCTTTGTCTACTCTCAATGAGAAACTGAGCCCATATTTTATGGTGCTTTATGAATTGTCCAAAAGGTAGGGGCACAGGCATGAGAACTTAAGCTTTCTTCAAGTTGTCATATTCATCTAGTCTTCCATGTCTCCCTTTTGAAGAAAGCAGTTGCCTCATGTGACCTCTAAATCCTTGCCTCCTATGCTGTCTGAAGAATTGGAATTAAGGGTGAACCTGCTTGCTTTTTTGGCTCTTTGTGATCACCCTTCTGGAGTTGCTGAAGTCCTTATCCAGGAGCAATTCCTAGAATTGTCAGAAGGTGAAACTTTAGGGACAGAGTATTACTAGTGACCTGATTTTGAGAACTCTTATGAATCAATGACCTATTATTCAGGAGCAATTCCTAGAATTTTCACCTTGAGGACAAGGTGAAACTTTTGGGACAGAGTATTATTAGTAGCAGCCCCCAATTTAAAAAATGGAAAAGAGGATGGATCAATGGGCCAGTCCCTCATTAGTTAAAAGGACTTAAGTCAAGCCCCCAATTTGAAAAATGGAAAAGAGGATGGATCAATGGGCCAGTCAATCATTAGTTAAAAGAACTTAAGTCCATTGAAATAGTTAGAGTTAATTGATATTGAGAAATATTTCTGCGACTGAATTGTCACAAGTAGGATATAAGGAAGGAGAGAAGAGCGCATTTGGTAGTGACAGTTAACTGAGTAGACAAGATCAGGCTTGCATTCTCAAACTCCTGAAGGGTAAACAACTCTGCAATTACTCTATCTCTTCACAATCTGGTTACTGCTGATCCAAGGCTAAGATCACATCAATAGAGCACTACCTTTTTCTCTGTCATTCTTCCTCTAGTCTCTGGATTAGTTCCATCAATCTGACAAGTACATCTGACAAATTGTGGCTGAAGCATTTCTCCATTTTAACAACACAAGTACCCAACTTGAATACATCTAATATCCACTCACTTCTTAAGACAAATCCAAAGTATTAAAAAATCTGGCAATCTGGCAATGTATGATAACAGGGTTTTCAACAGAAACTTTATCAAAATTCAGAATACGTAAACACACAAATCTGGTAGATAAATTTCACTACCAGCGTTGGAGCCAAGGCTCTCCTCTGAGAAACAGTTCTCAGCCTTACAAAACATGAAAAACACTGTACAGAAGAAACTACCCATACCCATGCCAATAACTACACATCATACAATTATACAACTCTTACATAACTTCCCTATTAGGCTACTACAAGTAAATAATTGCTGCACCACCAATAACCACCTAATTGCACAAGTATATAACTGCCGCACAACTGCCCTACCATATAACTACTCTATTATTAATTTCTGGCATGCTATTTTCTTATTTTTCCTAGAGTAAGAAACCCCATTTTTTGTTTATTCTCTGGATAGTTAAGAATTTGAGTCAAATCTTGATTCTGGGTTCTAATGTATGATGTGATCCTCATGTTTCACATCCAAAACATTGTTATCTTGCACCATACTGAACTTGCACTGAATTATTGCACAGACTTCACTCTAATCTTATTTAGCCCAAAACTCTTTGATTCCAAAAGACCCTCTCCACAACTTATGTTTAGAATTTAGGGCTTGTTTGTTCAAAGTTTACAAAAAAGTGATTTTATGAATATATTAAGAAGTTATGCATATTTTAGAGATCTGAAGTAAAGTAGAAGCTATTTCTTGTTTGGTTACAATGATAAAAAGAACTTTTTATTATAAAAGGTAGTTATAATTACAACTTCCAAAAGCTACTCAAAGTAGCTTCTAAAAAAAAATCAGAAATCTAATCATTTCTGACCAAGGTAGTTAAATTAGGATTCTAGTTGTGAATTGTAAAACCTATTTTTTGAATCGTGAATCGAATCGTATCTTGAATCTAAAAGCATTGTAACATCAGCGTTGTTATATGGCAGCCATGACAGAATTCAGTGACGGTTTTTAACCTCACCATTGCAGCATTGCTGTTTTTTGGAGGTTTTTGGTGGCGGCGCCATGGCGGCTGTTATGTGCATGGCGGTAACAGCGGCCATGGCAGAAATTGTTGAAAAATGGCATTTTGATGGGTTGAGCCACGAACCCGACCCGGTCCAGAGGTTGACCCGCACCAAAAAACCCTAAAGTTACATCTCTTTTGCCCTCTTCAGGAGTCAAAACCACTTCCCTCTCATCTCCGATCTCTCTCTCCCCTATGATCTAGTTCTGCATCTTGCTGGGTTGTCTCTCTCTGTCACTATTGTGCCGCTGTGGAGCAGTGGTCGGCCACATGATGCTTGTTGTGGTCAAGTATTTCTTTATTCGCAGAAGTTAAGCCATAATTCATTGTAGACAGTATCTTGGTGTGGGTGTGCACTTTTGAAGTGTAATGGAGAAAGGGAGCAAAAGTCCAATCTTGCCCTTGCTATAGTGTTGTTTAGGGTTTTTTTAAGGGCAAAATGGACTTTTTCCACTTAAAATTTTTCTCAAGCGGTAAAATTTTTAGGGTTCTCTCTGCTTTGTTTTTCTTCCTTCTTCTCTAAAGCCAACTTCCCCCTCATCTCCTTCACCATTTTCACCAAAGAAGACATCTTTCCGGCTGTTTTCCGGCAACTGAGTGGAAGGCTCTGTTTTTCGACATCCATTTTCCATTTTGCTTCCTTGGGCTCTGTCCCTCTTCTTTAGTTTTTCCCTCTCCTATTATATTTTTTTTTTTCAATTCTGTTTTTCCCTCTCCCATTTTTTTTCATTTTTCTTTATTATTTTGTTTTCATGATTTATTTTTCTGTTTTCACTTCCAAGTTTCCTTCTCCATATTTATTTTTAATTCTCCACTTTTCTGTTATAACTTCAGCTTTTTTTCACTATTTTACAACCATTTTATTCCTTTTTTTCCTCAAAACCTTCCTTCTTTTATATGTAGTTAGTTTTCCAGTTTTATATTACATTTTGCAATATATATATATATATATATATATATATATATATATATATATATATATATATATATATATATATATATATATATATATATATATATATATATAATTTTATTATGACCGCCATACTTTTGCCATAACCCGCCATGGCATCCGCCATAATTTTATGGCAATTTTTTTGCTTTCTGCCATGACCAGCGATCCACCATTGATAAGATTGTGTAACATTAAAAAAACAACAAAATATCTAATATATTAATATTTGTAGTCAAATAGTATATAGCTAACAATGTGATATATAGTTGTAAGCAAGTTAAGATTCAAACCGTAACAGTTAGTCACATTAAATTAAAAAAAAGTAACTACTCAAATTCAACATGTAACCTTTCAAAAAGATAAATAAAAAATGACAGCAAGTCATTATGGCAAAAGTTGAGAGAACCATTGCAGAGGCAGAACCACCAAAAATCTTGAATAGAGAGTGACAAGTTGAGAGAACCACAATAATGCACTAGGAGACAAAGGAAATAGCATCAAACAGTGTGCAGAAGAGGAGCAGAGCACGGGAATGAGAAAACAAGACTTTTCTCTGAATATAAAACAGTGGGTTGACCAGCAGAGGGAGTGTCAAGTGGAAACCTACCTTTTTGCATAAATTTTAAAAAAAAAAATACAATTTTTTAGGGTTTTTAGTGAACCGAGTCACGCTGACCCGACCTAATTTGCACACGACCGGTTCGTGGTGGAATCGTGTCCCCCCATCTTAAATTGCGATTCAGCCCTGATTCGTGTGATTCCAGCAACGATTCTAGACAAAATCAATGCTCCTCTACAATCCATATCCTCAGGAGTTGAATCGAATCAGTTGTATCATATTGCGAATCGGGCAATACTACCATGTTTCAAACTATGATTCTTTTTAAAGGCTAAACAAACACATCATAAGCTTTTAAAAGTGATTCAAAAAAATAAAGTGATCTTTTATGAGAAAAAACTTAAGTAAATGAGCTCTTACTCTCATAATTCATTAAATTAATGACATTAAGAATACAAAGCATACATGTTGAGGCAATATCTCTGGGATGCTTGGATGCTTGCAACAACTGCATCCAAAACCAATGTACTCAGTCTAATCCATAGTTATCAATCTCAGATAGCAACACATAACGGCTAACACTAAAGATACTATGGCAAGATAGTGCGTAGCAATGACTGCTATTTAGAAATTTTATGTACAAATTAAATTGTTTATACGAAATGCTAAAAAAATAGAAAGAAAAAGTCAAAATTCATGACATATTCAAATTAAATATAAAAAATCATAGCTTATAAGCAAAACATACAAGTAAAAAAAACCCCAAAACAGTGCTATTTTAGGGCAAAAATGAGGTTGTCTAGAAAAGTTTGACTATAGCACCACTACGGCCTCTATTTAAAAATCCTCTGCTATTCAAATTTTGTAGTGGCCTAGGGCTGCTCTCCTCCGCTATTCTGCTATAGTCCGCTATTGATAATTATGGTTATGGTCTACTCTAGGTGCAAAATTTTTATCAAAACATTTGTTAAACGTAAGTTTGCAACATTTTATATGTCATTATAACTTAAGTTTCTACCTCAGACAATAGTAACAACAAAGTTCTCCCTCTGTGAGCTAGAATAATTCTGAAAAAATTCATATATTGAGCTTGAAATGAACAAACAACAAAGATTGATTGAAACAATTTGTTGGCATCATATGTACTTCATTGTAGTTGTCATACTTCATGAGTACCAGGAGATTTGAACAAAACAAAATGAAAAAAGTCAAAAAACAAGAAAAATAAAAACTATGGATGCATACCAATTTTAGGTTCTGTAGCTGAGGAAACAAAAACTGTTTCATCTGGCTCCTGGGCAGCAAAGCTGACAAATTCATATACGTTACCTGCCAACAAAAATTGAAAATTAAGGCACTAGCAAAGCAATCATATTCATATCACACCAACATAAAAAAATTTGTATTCCCTCAGGAGATCAATGTGCAAAAATAGAGAATATAGCATCAATAATTTCACAGTTAATTCATTTTATTTACCAGACGAACCCTCGAAGCTGGCTAGTTTACCATCATTATGAAGTGTAAGGGACAATTTCTGCCCATGTATCTCAGATAACAAATCCTGGCCAACATCATGCAAACATAGAGTTAGAAAATAATGGCAATGATTAACATAACATCAAACAATGGTTCTTAACACCATCAATACAGATACTAGTTCATTTCAATGAATGAAACCATAAAAAATTAAAGAAACTGACTAGTCTCCTATAATAAAGTAAGAGGGGATAAACCATCAGCAAATGGAAAGAGGTAATCCACAGCAATGTGTTTTTCCACACTCCTTAATGAAATCTAAGAAACTTTCAGAAAACTATTAATCAGTAATTAAGAAAAGAACATAAAACATGCACATCAATTTTTAAACCCTAAATGTAATCTAATGCAAGAAAAAATAAGCTTAGTAGAGAGGCTCGATCAAAAAGAAGTATTATTGGTTGATACAAGTGACTAAAGTCAAAAGCAAAAGGGGTACCCAAACAAGTTCTAATTTTTACTTTTAACTTTGCTTGGTACCCTACATTCCCACTTAATATTCATTTTTGCAACAATAATGCTGATGATATAAAACTTTTTTTTGTCATTTAGTGACAACAGTCGTTGGGATTCAGTTCAGAAGAAATAAGCAAACCATAAGCACAAAGACAAACTTACATTGGTAAAAGGCAACCTAAGAAACAAAAGCTCACTGGAGTCGGTCAAGTTAATCAGCGCTTCATTGCTGTCTTCCACATATTCTGCAGAAGGCCTGTAACAAACACCCTCCAAATCTACCATTGACATTTACAGAGCCTAAGCAAACAGACAGAGTAAGAGAGAAAAACAGAAGAAAAAGAACACAAAATCAAAAACTGAAAAATAGTAAGCAATTATTCAGTTCAAATGTAGATAAACATAGTAATGGTGAAAATTTAATCCTACTGCAATCCCTAACACATCCATTCCAAAATGAATAGTTAAATTTGGGATTTTACCCACCTTAAATCATAAAGGGGAATGGAAATCGTATATCATAAAATCATAAGTTGAATCGTAAGAATTTACAAAATTCATTTACATCCATGTAAAATGACATAAATTAGAAAAAATAAAATAAAACAAACTCGCACTCATAAATCATAATCCATATTCCACAAGAATACGATGCATAAGGCTGGGAATAATCAAGTCATGAAGTGTTGAAAAACTTAACTAAAAACACAAATAATCAAGCCATTAACAAGTTACAAGGCATAAAACTTAAGCAGCAAAGCTAAATAGTGAAACAGTGGAGCTGGGAAGCGCAGTTTGGCGAGACCGAGTACCAGTAGCCAGTGGCACTAACCTCAAAAGCAGAAGGAGGTTGCACACAGCCACACACTCAGAACCACGTCTTAGACTTAAGGTTCAACCAAGAACAGAGAGGAAGGAGGTTCGACTCGGTAAGTGATTTAGGGTTCTAAGTTCTACCCAACTGGTTTTTTTTTTTTTTTAAGCAAACCGGTTTAAATCTAACAGATCATAGGGATCATAAAGTCCTACAATTCTAAGGGTTTTCACAATTTAAAACCCCATTTCACAACAATTTCATCCGGCTTGTATCCTTCAAACCTTCCCCAATCAAAAAATCCCACCGTCCCACTCTTCTTTATTATAATTCAAATTCCAATTTCAACTACCATGTAGTCTAGTAATTGACGAGGAAAAAAAAAAGTAATTAATTGTGATATAATGTATAATTAATATATACAATTATTAAGTTGAATATATAAAAAAAAAATTGTCTCATGAAAAAATTCTAATTAATTTAGCTTTAATTTACGTAAATTAAAATCAACAAAATTAATTTAAAATTTACACATAAGTCAATTATCTTTAAAAAAATTATTTTATATAATATATTTTTTATTATAAATTTATAATAAAATAAAATTATTTAAAAATAAAAAATAACTAAATTTTTAGAATATTAAATATTTAGAATTGTTATTAAATAAAATATAGTATTTTATTATCAAATTAAAATACATATTTTTTATTTTTTATAATTATTAAATCATAATAATATTTTTTATTCATATAATTTCATAAAAAATTTCGTAGAATATATTTTATACTTTTATTTAATTATTAGCTACAAAATTTTTTACGTTCTATTATTTTTATTTATTTATTTTATAAAATTAGTTTAGAAATATCACATATTCAATAAATATTTTTAAAGTTATAATAGAAATATAAATTTGATAATAAAAAATATTTTAACTAAATTATTAAGTTATATATTATCAAAATATTTAAAATAATTTATTTTTTTAGGGTTTAGGGTTTAACACAATTAAATCTAACACAATTTCATCGTGAAAATTATAAATATATGATATTTAATATTATAAAATTTATAAATCTAAAAATGTAACTTCTGAAATTATCAAAATTTGATGAATATATGTAAATTTAAAATTTAACGCATTTTAAATTAATAAAATTTATTCTTAAAGTCAAATAACTTAATTTGATAAAATTGATCGAATTTTTATTTTAAAAAATATTTTTTATATTTAAAATATAATTTTATTTAAATTTAAATAAAATATATAAATAAAAATGATAAATAAATAAATATATACTTCTTTGTTATTTTATAAGTGCTTTAAATTTATATTTATGTGTTTTACTTTTTTTAAGTATTTATCATTCTTAAAGAAGAAAAATATTACAAAATTATTACAATATATTTTTAGCAATTTTTCTATATAGTCAAAAATTTTAAATTTTAAGACAATTTCACAACCGCAATGCATAAATAGTCATCTCAAAGTATGTCACAAATTCCACTTCACTCCATGGTAAATGTACTAATAATAGACTTCTTTTCATTTTTTTATGAAATTGCATCTCCAACTAGTAAGAAAATGTAACCAAAAATAGATTTTTTGAGTCTACATACTTAGCATAGTTTGAATCTAAGTAATCAATCATTTCAAAGTAATTAGATCTTTTGTACACAAGCATGTGATTCTTGGTATCTTGTACATATTTAAAAACTTTCTTTGTAATTTTTCAATGGTCTATCCTAGGATTACTTTGATATTGACCTAACATTCTAACAGCAAAATGAACATTTAGTTGAGTATAGGTCTGACCATACATGAAACTCTCAACCAATAATGTATAAGGAATATATTCCATTAATTTTTGTTCCAACTTATTCTTGGAACATTTCATTTTATTAAATTTGTTTCCCTTTTGAATTGAAAATACCTTTGATGAGCATTTTTTCATTCTGAATATTTTAAAGACTTTGTTAATGATACTTTTTTGAGATAATTCTAATAATCCTTATGATATATTATGTTACGATCTATTATGGAATATTTCTATTTCAATCACATAGAATGCCTTACTCATGTCTTTCATCTAAGAGTTGTTGAAGAGAAATTTCTTTACATCATGCAACAAGTCAATATCATTAATAATAAGAAGAATGTCATCAACATATAAGACCAAAATAATAAACTTGCTCCCACTAATCTTCATATAGATACATTGATTAACAGTGTTATCTAAAAACCTATATAATGTGATCATATCATTATCTGAAAAGTTGTTTCAACCTATATATTGACTTCTTTAACTTATACACCAAAATTTCTACTCATGTGGTCAAGAAACTATTTAGTTTATCCATATAAACTTCTTCTTCTAAGTCACCATTAAAAAAGGTAATCTTTACATCTTGGTGAAGCTCCAGGTCATAATGAATTACCAAAGACATAATAGTTCTTAAAGAAATCTTGTTTGAAATTGGAGGGAATGTTTCTTTATAGTCAAGGTCATCTTTGTGAGTGCATAATTTAGCAAAAAGTATAGCCTTATATCTTTCAATATTGTCTTTTGAGTCTTATTTGGTCTTAAAGATCCATTTAAAAATAAATCGTTTTGAACATTTAGGCAACTTGACTAGCTCCTATATATTGTTTTAATTCATTGATTTTAACTATTTTTTCATAACATTCAACAATTTTTCAGAATTGTTATATTCAACTTGCTCGTTTGTGACTTGTACATTATTAGTTGGCTTATCATCTATACATTGTTCTTGTAGGTTTTGAACATTAATTTGTTGTCTTGACATGTTGTGTAACAGTGATACAACAAAAGGGACAACAACTAGAGAAGAGACACTAGGTATATGTGTTTTCATGTGTGTCTCTTTTATTTTTTATTTTCTTGATTCATCACTCCTATTGAACTGATTATTTTCAATGAACCTAGTTATATCAAACTCATCTATTATCATACTATGGTTAGGATAATGAGTTATTAATGCAATAAAAATTGGAAGAGAAGAACTAACTTGGTCCAAATAATCTTTTGTCTCGTTTTACTTTATAGATCCATTAACTATACGTCATACAATCGCCTACAATATGATTAATTATGGTATGTTTAAGAGTTGTTAATTCTGAACATATAAATATAGCGTAATAAGATAAACACCAATTAAGAAAAGAAACATGAAATTATCATTAATCACAAATATATCATAAGGTCATGCAAAAAATTCACTATAACCCTAATAATGAATTTAGCTAGACATAATATAATAGAAAACCAAAACAATACTAAACCAATCCATAGTTATTCAAAGAGTAAATGCAAACTAAGAGAGTCTTTAATGGAGAAGAGATGAAAAAAGTTATTGATCCCAAGACGTGCTTCCAAAGCTCCAATAATCGTCAACAGTTGGCCAAAACCCAAGATATTAGGATGTCAAAATGATGTTTAAGTGGTTGCCCCTGAGGTTCCTTAAATAGGGTTTAGAGTCTACAAGAGATTATAATTGTTGTCTCTAAGAGATATGTTTTATCTCTAATAAGAATATGGCATATTAAGAGAGATATAATTTGTCAAATTTAAAATTCAAATTCTCTCTTCATAAGTTCTTTAAAAAATCTCCAAGTGTAATCTTCCTAAAGCAAGCATGACCGTGCTACCCATTATGCATGGTCCACGAAGCATTCTCATTCTTCCTCATAAGTAAGGTCGTGCTAGCTGCTCAGTGAGGCTCATTCATGCCCAAAATACCTCAAAAATTCATTAGTGATCTTAATATGCTAAATTGCAATAAATAATATAATAATCAGTACGAAGTCCATTTAATTAAGGATCAAGTACATAAAAATAGGCTACCAAAGTATACTAAAATATAAACTTATCAATAAGTAAAGAAAAAAAGGGTAAAACGCGTAAGCATGAGCCACACCATTACAATTATAACAATGTCGATGAAGATTTGAATTCAATATAGTGTTTTTAAGAAACTAAACATTTCCTTTAATCTTGAAATAGGCATAGTCAGTCAAATAAATTTTTAAAATTATAAATTTTAGAATTTAGTCTCTAAAATTAACAAACGTTTATTATTTTTATCTTTATTATTAAAAAATATTAAAAATAAATAATAGTATTAATTTGTTAAATTAAGTGATATGTAAATATTTATATGAATCCAAATGATGTCATTTTTGTGCATTGATATAAAAGTTAAATTTTCTCCTTCATCACATTCATGGCTTCATGTGCCTTAACTTTCTAGGTCAATAACATTGAAAACTTACAACTTTTTTTATCACGTAAGTATTGAAAGTTGTTGACACTATAAGATTCCAAGAGTTCATTCATGCTCATCACATCATTGTAGGGTACAAGCAAGAGAATACTCTCAAGTGAGATGTTTTGTGGAAATACTTTCCAAGTTACAACTAAAAGTAAGTTTATTGGATTTTCTCTTTCTATTTTGACACATTAATATTCTTACTCAATTTTAGAAATTAGATTTCTTATTTTTCATATAAGAAGAGGGTTTGTTGAATTTAATAAAGTTATATCAAATAAAAAATGTATATTTATTATTTTAAAACATAAAATATGTTAAATAATTCTACATTTAATTATTATAAAAATTCTTTTGAGTTTTTTTAGCACAATGAAGAAGATTTACACAAATAAAAGGGTAGAATAGTTTAAATTAAAATATAATTTTAATGTACTTTCAGTGTAAACATTGATAATCATTAGAATTCATCATAAATATAATTTTTATATTGATTGATAGAAAAATTAATAATTATTATTAATATGATAATTTAAAATTGAGTGAGAGTATAATTTTTTTATTAACATATATTTTTAACATTATACGATTATTATTTAATTAAAAAATTATATTTGAAATTATATTCTATATTTAATGAAATTTATAAATACTTATATATTCACTCTTTTACAATAAGTTATAAAAATATTTTTATTTAAAAACTAGGATTCATAATTTATAAAGAATGATATATTGACAAATCTAAATTTAGTAAAATACTCACTGTATATTTTTGTTTTCTCCGGAATCATATTCGTTTAGGCAACAATATTAGAATATAAATTCACAGTCAACTAAAAATATATAAGTGCATATAATATTGATATATCACGTATGTCTCATGGAAGATGGAACTATAATTTTTTCTTCTAAAATTTAACATATCAAATAAGAACAGCAAAGTGGGTCAAACTTGGTTTCAATATGCTCCATGGAAATAGGCCAATAATGCCAACTTAACCTACTTCATACTTGTTAACCTGTCAAATGTTCACTACTTTGCAAATTGGTTGCACCATTTCTACGTGACCTTTTAGAGTCTTTGCTCCTTTGATAGCTTATGTTTCTCGTGTAGTTGTTTGTTTAAATAAATTATTTAGCTATTCATTAATAAGTTATATATATTAGTGAGTTAATTAGTTTCAATATGGCATGTTGCCTATAAACAATAAAAAGGGTTGAGAGAAAAATATTATCTATTGATTTAAGAGGAAATATAAATTTTTAAGAGAGAGAGAGTTTAGCTTCTCAAAAGTCCTGCTAATCATTTGTATTCTTTTTATTTTATAAAATTTATTTTCTTTATAATTTTGATCTATAGTTCTATCACAACCACGTCATGTAAGAAGAAAAAAAAACAAATCAAAGGAAAAAAATTTCTAATTAAATAAAAATACATCATTAATTATATATTTTTATTAATTTCATTCGTATAAATCATAAGAGATTATGGCATAGATAAAACGACAGGCATAAGAGTTTCTTTCTTCAGAATCAATTCTTTTCGTATATTACAAATTTTAATATAAAATTTATAATTAATACTAAATTAAAAAATAATTTAATTATATTTAATAATTAAATTTTTTTATTAAAATTAATTTAAAATTTAAAAATATTTAAATAAAAAATAAAAATTAACATAACATTTAATTGATGTTTAATTTTTTATTCATCTTTTCTATTATTTATATATATGCATTAGGGGTGTTCATGACGCTCTTCTCATTAACTACTCAGCCTAAAGTTAATTTTGACAAGTTCAAATTTAAACAATTAACTAAAATATTTTAAAGATATATAGGTTCAAGTTACCCTTTTAATCATCGTAATCCAACTTGATTTTTTTAAATTTAAAATTTTATAATTTTTTTTATAATTATGCACTAGGAATAAGATTTTATGATTTAATAGAAAATACCTTTATGAAATATTTTATTATTTATATTAATATTATTTTTTAAATATATATCATAAAATATACTTCAGTTTGATTTTATACTTTTTAAATTTTATAATTTAGCTAATCATAATATTAAGATCAATTTATTATATTAATAAATTGAGTTTATTCAATTTTATCTAATCGAATTTTAACTAAATCAAATTTAAAAATTTCGTACCTTTTTATTTTTTTTTCCAAATTATACATCAGAGATAGAAACTGAGAAAAAACATACAGATAATAGAAAGAAAAGAGGGTGCAACACCACTGAAGAGATCGACCAATAACATTCACTCACATGACACGTGAATTTTTAGATCCAAATGAGTGCAGAGTAGGTTGAAGATGAATAGGTACTTTCTTGATGACAGTGAGACCCCATATCTCGCCCATGTCTACATCTTGGGCAGATACACTCTCAGGAAGCTTCCAATCGAACCAATAGAGGAGATTAGCAAGCATATACTCAGTGGAAGTAAGCGCAAATGAAATTCCAATGCAACCTCTTCTCCCAGAACCAAAGGGTATAAGCTGCAAATCTTGTCCTCTAAAATCAACTTCTGGTAGTTTTTCAAATCTTTCAGGAAGAAACTCTTCAGGCCTGTCCCAAATTTCAGGGTCTCTCTGAATTGCCCATGCATTCACAAACACTCTTGTTTTGGATGGAATATCAAACCCTTTTACTTTCACATCTGATGAAGTTTCTCGTGGTATCAGAAGAGGGGCAGGTGGATACAATCTTAAAGTTTCTTTTATCACACATTTTAAGTAGTTCATTTGGTTCAAATCGTTTTCGTCTATTTGAGATTTATGCCCCACAACTCTTCTTACTTCCTCTTGGGCTTTCTTCATGGTATCTGGATTCCTCAACAGAGCCGCAAATATCCACTCCAGAAGTGTTGAAGTAGTGTCACTGCCTCCGGCAAATATGTCCTGAAATTATGAAAAGGAAAATAAGGCTCGCCCAAATCCAAAAATAGGGTACAAAATGGATGAAAGAAGAGATAAAAAGGGAAAAAAAAAAAAAAAAAAAGACAAGTGAGTATAAAAATATATTATCTTTGTAAAAATAAAATATCCTACGTTCTCTCGTTCCTAGGAGCGAATATGTTTCATCAACGATTCCTAGGTTCATTGTCGGAAGGTGTGTATATAAAATGTGACAAAGGGAATAAAGAGTGATTGAAAGATAATACAAATGTCTAAATTATTTTATGAAACTAATCAGTTAGTTTAGTTTACGTAAAATAGTTATTTATTCAACAAAATAATTTAAAATTTTAAAAAAATATATACTATCACATGGGATATCAATAATGATAGAAAGAGAAAACATATACCATTAAAATCGCTTTGACGTCATTATGGGTGAGCTGAAAATCATGTTTTCTACCCTCTTGAATTTGAAGGAGTATGTCCACGAAGTCTTTGTTATCAGATTGGCCATCACCCCTGTTCATTCTCTTGCGTTGTACGACTAACTGTTCAAAGAAACCATCTAATGCACAGAAAGTGGATTTAAATTCTGCTATTTGACCTGTAAGAACATCAACCCAACCTAACCAAGGAAAGAAATCCCCCACACTGTAAGTTGCTAAGTGTTTCATCATTTTCCTTCCTAGCTCTCCAAAGCTTTCGCCACCTTCTGGAGTATCATACTTTTGTCCAAGAACACATCTAGACATTATGTTGTTTGAGGTTTCAATCAACATCTCACTAAGATTCACACAGGACCTTTTGCTTCCACATGCTTCACGAATGGTATCAAGCATTTCCGCAATTTCTTCGTCTCTTATCGATTGAAAGGAACGTACCCTTTTAAGGCTTAGAAGCTCAAGGACACATATTTTCCTTTTCTGTCTCCACTCTTCTCCATAGGGTGCAAAAGCAACGTCCATGCACCCATACATGATGATTTTCACCGCTGTGGTTTGAGGCTTGTTGGAGAAAGCGACATCGTGAGTTTTATATATTTCTTTGGCCACATCAACGGATGAGACCACAAGGGTTGGAGTTTGGCCCAGTTGAAGCATCATGATAGGGCCATACTTGCGTGAGAGTGCGTGAAAGGAACGGTGGGGAAGTGTGCCTAGTTGATGAAGATTGCCAATTATGGGTAGTTTTGATGGGGAAGGAGGCAAATTAGACTTGTTTTTTCTTGTGTGTTTATTAAGCATAAACAGAAGGCTTATGAAAGAGAAGAAAACGGCTAAGTAATGCGTTGGGTTTAGGGTGTTCAGTAATTGTGGTAGAAGCGACGGTAGTTGAAGAGCCATTCCTCGTAGGATCTTTTACTTGGATGTTCACAAGGAAATGTGTGCTTGGCCAACCTGCCACCGTTCAGAATTTATAGGATTTCATTAGTGGGGAGAACATGAAAGATGCCTTATCTCCTGAATAAAATAATGTCACATGATGCTGGCAATGATCCCCAACTACTACGTTGAGGGAATATTTTTAGGGCATTCTTCCGGAAGCCTTAAAAATTTTAGGAGTTTTAGCACTCTATCACACTATGTCAAAAAGGAGTTCTGATAGCAGTTCAATTTTAAATTAGAGATTATTTAAAATTGCTCTAAAATCTTACGTTATCCAATGTATTACGTCTAAGAGAGTGGTTGTTTAAATCAATCTCAAATGTTGTTAAGATTAGAAAGCAGTTTCATGTAAAACTGTTCTTTAAAGTATGGGTGTTAAGATTAGAGAACAATTCCATGCAGAAATGCTCTCCAAATTATGGATGTTAATATTAAAGAGCAGTTCAACGCGAAACTGTTCTCTAAAGTATGGGTGTAAACTGCGAATTTAAAATTTGAAATTTATTTCTTTGTAATTTTTTCTAGATCTATTGCAAATTAAAATTAATTTATTATTACGTTTAAATTTTAATTTATAGGTGACATTCAAAATTTCGTCATTTTTATCACAAACTAAAATTGAATATTGAGTTTACACAGTATGTTAACCAAATATTCTACATCTGCATGAACCAAACACAACTAAACAGAGAAAAAGAGAACAAATTAGTAGGATGATTACTGTTAATAAAGAGAAAAAGAAAGAAATAGAGAATGAATGATTCACTGTTAATAAAGAAAAAGAAAAGAATGAATGAAGAAAATTGTAAAAAAAGTAGTTGTAGATGTGAAAAAATAACAATTTATTAGCACAAAGGAGATAAACAGAGCATAGAAGATGAAGAGAAGTCTCACTTAGGCGAGAATGAACGTCGAAAACCACATGGTTTTAGAGCATTCTTGCTCAGACAAGACAGGTCTCACTCAAGCGAGACTAAATGCCTAGAACTGCATGATTTCAGAACATTTTCACTCAAGCGAGAATAGGATAAACTTGCTTCAACTGTTCTCTCGCCTAGACGAAAGGTGACCTCGCTCAAGTGAGAGAAGATCTCGCCTAAGCGGCCTCACAAGAAAGATTGAGTAGCACAATAAACGCCTTCTCGCTCATGCGATAATGACTTTCGCTCAAGTGAAAATATTAAAAAAAGTCTAGAATAACCACTGTCTGGTTTTCTTGCTTAGACGAGACAGGATTGCCCAAGCGAGAGTTTCCTTGCTCATTTTTCATTTCAAGTCATGTTCCCTTTTCATTCTCTCTAAACTACCACTTCTTTTTCTCAGAGAAACCTCATTCAAACTTTGATTGTTGCTCAAATCTAAACTTAGACGTCTAATCTAAGTGACTCAAAGTAAGTTTATCTGAGTTTGATTCTACATTCTTCGTTTGTTTCTCTTCATTTTCTATTTTTCAAATGTATTTTATGATATTTAGGAACAAATTCTGTTGTTAAGTGACAATCTTCATTACTTTCTATCTAAATCTTTATCTTGAGGTAATGAGAGATCTATTTCATCCTTAGAACATAGCAAATATTTTGTGTTCATAGGAGTATTATCGTTGTATGAAAGTGTATGCTTGATTAAGGTTATTTTGTAGTAGAAAGCTAATGATGTATGTTTTTTTGTTGGTATGAGTGATTATACTGTACTCGTACGAGATATATGTTAAGAATCTAGTTAAGAGATGTTATAATGAAATATGATATTATGACTAAGTAATATTTAATTGTGATGAAAGATTGATTATGTATATTTGATGATCTAGATGTGATAAAATGTTATTGATGAATGTTTGGCTAGTTTGACATGACACTGTATTCTAGAAATAAATTGTGTTGCAAACTTAGTTTGAAAGTGCTTTATTAAACACAATCTTTAACTGGATAATGAGAATGATAAGAAAAAAAAATATGGGATGAGTATAAAGTGTTAAATGGGTCTAGTGTGAATAATTATAAAGATACACTAGGGGTATATAGTCCAAGATGTGGGAAACCTAGAAAACATGTCAGATGGTGAGCGATATTCGCATATGTGTACACACTATTTTTTAGAGCAAATGCGTCACATGATCTCACACTCGTTTTTTGACTAGACTCCGGATTATACCTTTGTTAAGGGGCCATTATTAGATATGTTGTATTCGTATATATGGGCTAACCAACAACTATTTACCTAGCTGTGTAAGACCTCAAGAAATATTGGAGGCATTGTATATTTGTGATCACAGTGCACTTGGAATGCATATTTGAAAGAGAGAAATGTAATGTATTGTAATGCAATGTATACATAAGTGTGTGAAATTTTCTAATATATTATTTTGATGATTAATGTGATTATATTCCTTTTTTATTCCATAATTATAGGTATGTTATAATGAGATTATGTTATGTTTAATAATAAGATAGACGCTCATCCTTACTAAACATTTCATGGAATAAGGATGATAGCACCCCAAAGGCAAATTAGATTAGTAGATAATCATGTAAATTATAGAATAAATATTTATATATTCAATGAATATAAGAGGTTTTGCTATTTTAAGTTTGCCATATGCTATGATAATGTACTTAGTCACATTTATATTGCGGAAATGGACTTGGATTATAGTGTTTTCTTAGATTTTTCTATAAACAATAGGATCCACTACATTCTTTGTATTTATATTTATAAAGGTATAGTTAGAACTCCAACAATTATAAGTTATTTGTGTACCTACCTTGACCATGACCTCCTTGAAAGATCGACTTGGGTGACTTTTGAGCAGATCATTAATGTTATAGTCATGGCTGATTTTGGTGACCTCTATCTCAGAGGGAGATCTAACTCCGAAAGAACTAGTTATGATAGAAACTGACATGACAACAATGACTAAGACTGGATCCTCAATATTTAGATATGAGTTGTGACTGTTCTTATAACTTAATTCATTTTAGTTATGTAATTATTATTCTAAGTCATACAGCTTCTTAATAAACAGTTTGTAAATAATTACAATGATTATATGTAAATGAAAATTCAATATCTATTTCCTTACTTGTTTCAATATAATATAATTATTAATTACAATTTATCTTATCTCATTTTATCATGTTGGTAAATTTTGTGAATAAATTTATTTATAAATTTTTTTTAATTTCCTCACATTTGTATATTACCTATTTTAGATGAAATTTATCTTATTTATTCTGCTTTTATATAAATTATTATTTAATTTAAAAATAGAAATTTAGGATATTACAATTATGACCATTCATAATTATTTAATATATAAAATTAGAAAGAAATTTTAAGAAATTTGTTAAAATATTTAATATCAAAAAATTTAAGGCATTAATAATATTGAAGGTTATAATTTTTAATAATTTAATATTTTTTATTCCTTAATATATATCCTTAATCACATGTTAGAATATACTAATTATTATCTTGTAACGATTACAAACATTAACTAAGTTTTATTTCTTATTCTTTTAAAAATTTTCTCTTCTTACTATGACCATTCTCCATTATTTAATATATAATATTAGAAATAAATTTTAAGGAATTTGTTAAAGCAGTAAAACGGAGAAAATTTATATATTTAAGTTTTATTGATGTTATTCATTATTTAAATCTGAAGTTTTATTTCAGTAATTTATGATAATCTTAACTATAAATATTTTATTGAAATAAATTAAATTTTAATTTTAATCCATAACAATATATAAATATTTAATAAGATAAAATTTTACATTTAATAAATTGTGGGTTTAAATTTAATTTTTTTGTCTTGAAATTAATAGAGCACATTTTTTTTCTGAATTGTTTTCATACATAGAAAGAGTTGCGTGAAAACTTGTAATTTGCGGACTTGGACGCTGACGTTGGATCAGATCACAAGTGAAATAGATATAAATGATTCTTAAATATAAACGTTAAAACAAACGCGAACAACATGCTCCACTCAGTGGATATTTTTTTTTATGACTGGGAAAGATAACTACAACGCTCCACCAGTTACAAAATCATGTACATGTTTCAGCTAGTTAAATAGTTTATTACCTTATATTTAATTAAATTAAAAAAATTTCTCTTATATTTATTTTTTTTAATATATTTAGATGAGAATATTATTCTTAATTTTCAAACTCAAAATGTATTTCTAAAAAATAATTATTGATATTTTAAAATGTTAAATATTTTCCTTTAATTTATAATTATTTAAATTTTAAAATATTTGCATAATATATAATATATTTAATGATAAATATATCATTTCATTAATTTTACATTAGAAATCAGAGTTTACCATTTAGTAAGTAAAAAATTTAATAAAGTTATTTTCTGTTACATTTCTTATGTGTAAAATTTAAAATTAAAATTTATTAAGAATAATATATGTATACTCTTTTTATTAATTTTATTTTAATTTTACTTTTAATAAGTTTCTTCCTTAAATTTATGATTATATTATATAAAAAAGAATTTTTTTCATATTAGTAAAAATTTAAAAGCTCTTATCTGACATTGACGTGGATTATCTTGCAAAATAACGAATAAAACATTTCCAAACATTTTAAATTTGTACTCTAATTCAAAAATATTTTATTTTCAACATAGAAATTGCTAAAAATAAAAATTAAGAAAAAAAATTGATTTAATAAAAAATACTTTAAGAACTTATACGGAGATATCTTACATTAATCGTAAAAAATTTTAAATTTACACTACCATAAAAATATTTTGTCTTTATATATATTGGTTATAAATATTTAATTAAAATAAATTACATAATTTGATAAAAATATTATTTCAATAATTTAATTTTATAAAATTTTGATGATTGATTTAAATATGAATTTTAAGATAAAAAAATTTAAAAAAATAATTTTAATTGATAACATCTAGTATCAATTTTTTTAGCAAAATTATAT